TTATGGAATGAAATAAAGTTAAGGGAGACCTGTTATGTGGGGTTAAAAATGTTCCATAATTTTGCTCACGTAAGGCCTACAGCACATACAATTCTTGCTATATTTGCAATAAACACAAGAGCATGGCTTTATGTTGCTTCAATAAGTTGTGGATAATAAAGGAAGAAGACATTCATCACAAGGGTGAATTTGTGTGGGAAAGATATCAGTTACGCTTCTGTCCTCGCTCTCTTCCACGTCTGGTGTTCAGAGTGGTGACAAGATCACATTAATTTTGATTTAGATCCTTCTGTACACTCTCAGTCTCAGCTGTCCTCTATATACGGCGGTTCGTAAGTGATCTGAGCTGTAAGTGTAAGAGTTGCTGATGCTCCTGAAATCAGATCTCTATCTCTGGATTACCCCTCACCTGTTACCAATAAACACGTTATTGGAGAGAACATGGACCCATATCCTCATGGTTCTATGTTCTCCTAACTCATTACACACACATTCAGGCACTGTGAGTGTCCCACTAGTCCATGTCTATTTCTGTATCTTTGACCTGTTGTGGAAAAACAAAGGCATATCAGTTTTGTAAATACTTTTGGGACCATGATTCTTGGAGCTGGAGCTTTTTTTTTTTTCCTTAACTATAATGGGCAACCCACCCTGCTCGGGCTTGCCACCAACTGGCAGTGCTAGCAGGCTGCCCCCGGACCTTGGAGCAGTATCAAGCAAGAACAGGCCAGTATCCCAGCAGCCAAAACCCAACAGATGCACTGCACTGAAGCAGACATCACAAAATCAGGGGACTAGCGTTTGAAATGTTCTCCCTCACACATAAACACACACATATTCACATCTAAATATAAACACACCCTCAGCTAGGGAGTTAGTGGATGAGTGGAAATAAAACCTGGTGTATCAATTTAATCTCCAGTGATTTCTCTTTGCCTTTGTAGTGTCCGTTTCCACAAGGTTTTACTTTTCCACCAAAAGTTTAATTTGTAGTGGATTACATGGGGTCCTGCCAGTACTGTATGAGTCTTTGTAGGTCAATAATAACAGTATTATTATTATTAACTTTACTAATATTATTAGTAATATTTTTAATGGTATTTTTCAAAAAGCTCATATTTTATGCTGGTCTTGAGAAGTGTTGGTTTGCTTTGTGTTTTATCAATAATTCATCGCATCCCCAAGATTTTTTTTCCTTGTCAGCATGTGTACATCTGAAACCTTTACGCCACTGTGTTCCACTTAACCTATTCACTGACACCATAGTAAAGAAACTATTTCAGGTGGAGGAGCAGCTCCTCGAGTCGTTGTGATCCAGAAGCACCGCATCAATTCTGCAGCGTGGAAAATCTGGATGAATTCATTTATGAAAGTCAATTATTCATTTATAAAATAATTGGTTAAATGAGTGAATGAAATGTCTATGGGGAGTAAAATGTCACTGCATGTTGTTTTGCTGTAGCTGGCGTCCAGGAAGAGCCTCCACCCTGTCACTACCCAATATTTCAATATTAGCTTATACATTATAATATTGGCTCACGCAACACATCCATCACTGTCAAATATCAAGTTTTAAATCAAATTCGATTTTTGTCTCTCCATGTCCGTCTCCATCTCTCCCTCTCTCCTTAGAAAGACAAACGGTTTCAAGACTACACAACAACATCACACAACTGATCAATGCCACACAGCGAGGACATCCTTACACAACTTTGTGCTGTTCAAACCCTGTCAGATATTCAGAAAGAATACACAGACGTCAGACACAGATTGGTGGTGTTCTTTTTTTTCCCCTTTTAAACACGTCTTTCCAAGCACTGCTCTGAGCCGTCTCTGCAGCTCTGTCATGCAGCTCTCTAATAGTGGATTAGTTTGGGCTTGTAAATGCAGAAAAGCTCTGAGAATGAACATTGATCTTGCCGTTTAACGAGAAATAACATGGGAAAGATCCCAGCACCATCTCTCCCTCCCTCTCTTTTGTTCTCCACCTCTTTCTAACAAACTACCACACACACACACACACACTTTCGCTTATTTACAACAAAGCACCTGACAGTCACAAGGACTATAAATTCTCCTGTCGTGCAGCCATATCAGCCGGCGTCGACGTTAATGGTGATACATTTTACATGGGGAAATGACCCACAGGCAAACGTGCATGTTATGTTATTACAACTGACTTTACTCTCAAGGCAAAGAAGTCACACAAAGTTACACACACACACACACAGCACATCCTGCCCTCTTTCTCCCGACCAATGCTGGCACTATACATCCTCAGGCCTGCCTTGGCTGGTGGTTTGATAAATTGGCCCTTTCATCTCGTCGATGTGCATTGTGTCAGTGGATTCGTGTGTATTTGGATCTGCGAGTCCATGCGCGTGTGTACGTATGTGTGTATGCGTCTGCCTGGGTACATTGTCTGAGCTGTGAAGTGTTTGGCTTCCTCACTGAAGGCTGCTGTCACAGCCTCTGAAAGCGTGTAATAGGCGCCCATTCTGCCGGAATGAATACACATCCATACGCTAGCGAGAAAATGTGGCATTTCAAAAAGACTCGGGATAATCGAACAGAAAAATTATGAAAAGGGGCAAAGCAATGTCATTCTTTTCAGCTAAGCTCTAAATTTGGTGCATATGATTGCTTTGGGAAGTGTTTGCGGACCACAGTGAATTAATGCCATTTTTGATAGATCAAGGGTGGTTATTGTTGGCTGTGCAAAGCATTCTGGCACCAAACATGGGGTTTCTGTGAGTTGGACTGTGATTTATGGCTGTGTAATGTTGTCTTGGTTTGATTGGGATTCAAAGGCAATTGTTTGTTTATTCAAATTCCTCAGAAAGACTTCTTCCTGAAATGTAGGTTCATTTGCAGTAATTTGCCTTTGCTGAGATAATGAGTTGTCGAATCTGCCAGTTTTGACACGAGTGTGCTCTGTTCCATTTGGGTCTGTGTTTAGAAATACAGCAATAAACCACAATCATCCTCGTATTGTAGCTTGGCTGTTCACTAGTCAGCATCTTGCTTTCAGGTCCTCAGTGTAACATCAACAAGTCTGCAGAAGAACGCAGTACAAAGAAGAGAAATAGAAGCCATGGGAAAAGTGAACAACTGCGCAAATATTCATATAGCTTTGGTCGGGTACATTGAAGTAGTGCTGCAAGTAATGGATCAAACAGCCAACCCCGCAATTTGTGGAGGACCCACTCTACCTCCTGAGCCACAGCCGCCCTAGTAGCACTGCAGTCTTAAAGATGAATTTTACTGTTAAAATCTAATTTTACAGGATATTTATTAATCTAAATCCCTGTATTAATATCACAGGAAGCTGACCAGGACGCTTCCCTGTCTTAAGTCAAAAACGGTGCAGAAACTCAAGAAGCACGGCTGACGAATGAGCCAATGCACAGATCACAGTGGTTCCTAACCTATGTTTTAAAGCCCTGCAACCCTTTTACAACACAGCGTAACTTGCCATCCTTTGTAGCATTATCTCTGTGGGCTGAAAGCAATGTGACCCTTGAAGACATCCAAAGAAGTCAAAGTCAGTGTCTCACAAGTAAAAGATGGAAGAAAAATTGATTTTTGTCGCACAAATATTTTTTTTATTCTATCTAATTAATCCTCTTGCCACCCCTCAGATGTTCTGGGTGATCGGTCCCGACCCAGCGGTTGGAAACCATGTAGAACAACTCGGTCAGTGTTTAGCAACTCAGACGCAGCAGCAATATATCTCTATCATAATAAAACCATAAAAGATTACGGAATATTATTGAGTGTAACGAGGCGATTGTGGCACACCTGAGCTGCACAAACACTTAATTAGGCTGCTACTGCCGGTAACGCTACATCAATACTACAATGAGTTTAGGCGCTCTTTCTGTCCCTCTGTTCATTTTTATGTAAGATGATATTCATGTGGGTGCACTGTGCAGAAAACCTACTCACTCGACCGGTGCTCCCACTCACTCACTCTGCAAAGCCAGCATTCAGCGTTCACTATCAGACACACTGTGAGCCGAGAGCGCTTTCTGTCTTTCATTCATCCCGCCTGGTGAAGACTGCTCACACTTTTCTTCTTCTTCATCTCCTCCTCCTCCTCCTCCTCCTCCTCTCCCCCCCACCCCACCACCACCACCACCACCCCACACCAGGCCATTTCCCTCCGTACGCTGGAATTGCTTTACTCTTGTTTTTGTTTTCCTGCCCGCGGGTTGGCTTTTTGGGTCGGAGACGGAGTATAGTGGAGGATATCAACAGAGCTACGTGTTCTCCATACCTCCGCGGCGATACTACGGAGCTCAAAGCAGCCGAAGTCCGCTGCGACGGACACGCCCATACAAGACGGAAGAGGCCAGCGCGAGGCGCAACGTTTTTTTTTAATCACTTTATTATTAATTCTCTCACTTACTTTGACAGGGCGACCTCCGCGCCGTGATTTTAAAACAAGACAACATACCAACCAACAGATATCTCGTTGAACGGGCAGCGTTACCCCCCGCGGGACCGCCCCACCTGCCCGGAGACCTCCTTAACGTTTTGAGGGATTTTCTACTCGGAGCAGGTGGGTTAGAGGATTAAATACAGGCCATTTGGCGCGGATGTTGCGGTTTCGTGAAGAGAGCGTCGCCTGCTCCTGCGCCGCAAGGTGAGTGATGGAGCGCGCCGAATTCGACTTGGGCAGTAATTTCCCAATCCAACCCTTCCTTGTCTAAGCGCAGATACATGTATCTGACCAAGACTGTAAGTGGTCCGTATCGTTGATTCTTCTCTTGTGTCCGCTTTCCACAGCAGCATCCCCGAAAAGTTTTGGCCATAAACATCGCAACGTTCTATTTCTATGGACATTCCTGCGGGACAGTGAGTGTTCACCAGAGTTTGTAGCAC